AGGTAAGAGTATAGAAGAATAATACCATGTCATAGCATCATGAGAATTTGTGTTAGCAATAAGACTTCAGTAAGATTTGTAGGCTTTTAGAGAGAGATGAGTTATGAGACATCTTTTCAAGAAGACTTTAGAAGAACGAGTAGCATGCTAGTTAGTGTCATGGCTTTAGCTTCTCCAGGATGCCACCAGACATGAACTGACACCGATTATTTTTTTGGGTTGCTCCAAACCTGCATATTTGTATGACCAGTACAACCTGCTAGCCATCCACATAATTCATGCAACACAGTTTGCAATACAAAATAATGAGATTAGGGTATTTTAGACCATTCCACTGTTTGTTCATTTCCCCGTCATGATCTCTCATACCCAAGACGGCAGTATATTGTGCTTAAAGCTCTTCACATTACCAGCTAGGCATGTTTATAATTTTCTATGGCTTCTGTTAGCCTCAACCTGGCTAATTCTTTGATTCTGTATATTTTCTGCCTCTATTTAACATTAAGCCAAGCCATTCTAAGGACTGATAATATAGTTTATAAAGTGTTTGTTCTTGATTTGCATGTTGAGGGATATGTTAACTTTGGTAACTTTTTAGAGAAATAACTATTAAAAATTAGATAAATAACCAGATTTTAGTTCATCCTTACTTATGTCATGCATTCTTTATAGTTATTTTGTTTTTATAAACATGCATTTGCAAAATAATCTAACTTCTTAACCCTTTGACATATTTATAACATGTCATGACATACTGTAAATACAAGACTTTAATATCAAAAAAGATGACAAAAAATGCCATGCCTTTTTACTGCAAACAGACATTATTTAAATAATATCTGGGGTTCAAATATAGGGGTTCCGGCCTGATCAATTATATGGGACCAACACTCAAAATTAGTACTATTATATCATATTAAAATCACATGGCTCAACTGCTGTTTTTGGGCATGCTCCCTGCAACATCATCACTGATGTCACTTGGTACAGGTAACTTTTAAACAATAATTACCATTAAATCTGGCATAAATTATCACGTAAAAAGATTTGAAATTTCCAATTTGAAATACTCTGGCTTATCTATTCTTCTAAATAACATTCCAACATGGGGTCAAAGGCCAGCCACAGGTTATAGGGTTATTAACTAAACACTGACTTTTTTCACAAAATTAATAGACAAAATTTGGTGAAAAATAATGGATTCTGACCTGATCTTATTTATTATTATATCTATTATTTAAAAAAAAAAATTCAAATCTAGTTTAAATTCTGTAGCTTTCACCAAATTTTGTCTATCCAGACAAAACTTGGTGTTTAGTGAATGGGTACCCTTTTGCCAGATAAATGTGATGTCTGGTTTAAAATTGGTAACTTTTACATGTGAATCCAATATAAAATATAGGTTCAGATATTTACCAATCACTGAATGTATACCACTCATGAGTATAGGCTATAGCCCACATATTATTTAATAGGCCTCAGTAACTGGTCATGAGTGGGGGCTGCTGGGAGGGGCATTAGTATGTGCTCTCTCCCTATATTATCTCATTACTGTCACAGACTGTCAATGGGTTGGGGAGAAATAGCAATGTTCCCCTATATTAATATTCCTCTACCACTTGCTGCCCAATGGTGGGGGTGGACAGTGATATTTCAACCCCACATTTTTACTAGATCTATCCAGTGTCCATAAATGGATGCAGGGGGATCAGAACCAAATGCCCCATTCATGTTCATATCAAACAAGCATTCTGGGAGAATTGTGGAAGCATGATTTTGTGATAAGCTGTTTGTACAGTACATTTTGAAAAAATAAGTACATAGGCAAGATCAAATTTCTTAATGATTAAAGTAATTTTAGGCATATGCGTGAACTAATTTAACCACAGGGACAAAAAAAAGTGTTTAAACAATAACTTTGGTTGATAAACTCATCAATTAAAAAAGTGCAATCAGTTAATCCAAAAGAACCATATTGCCTTGATAATAAACATGGTAGTAATATAGCTAATATAACTACAAAATCCCAGGACTCAACAAAGGTTCAAATTGCAGTGAAAATGGGAGGGATTAATAACATGTACTTTAATAATCTGGATCTATTCCATTTTTTGGTTAGAGATATCAATTCTGATGGTCTTTACGGTATTTAGTACATTAGCAAAAAAAATTTATCATTTTATTTTTATTTTGTTTTACTATTTCTATAGCACTGAGGGGGTTTGCCTTGATGGGGCAGACGGGCTTTTCCTCCAAGGGCCATCGGAGTAACTAAATGACCTCCATTTGTTTAGATATACATAGGAATTTAGGACTTTTTTTCTATTTGTATTCACTTTTTGTATCACACAGCTATGTTACAATGCTGCCGCCCATCCCATGTGTTCCCTATTAAGGGTTAATAAGTATATAGGGGTGTATATAAAAAATACCCCTCTCTGTCTCATTAGAGATATCTTTGCCAGAAGCTCAAGGAAGCAAGGTGAAAGGTCAGTGTAGGACCCACCTGAGGGGGTTTGCCTTGACAGGGAAGGCGGGCATTCCCTCCAATGGCCATTGGAGTAACTAAATAACTGGAGCAATTTAAATGCAGACTGGAGCAATTTAAATGCAGACTGGAGCAATTTAAATGAAGTCCAAGAAAAATGGGATTATTTAAAAGTTGCACTATTGAAGGCAACAGAAAATTGCATTAGGCTTGTCAGTAAAAGCAAAAAATTCAAGAAACCACTGTGGTACTCCGCAGATGTGGCCAAAATAGTTAAAAACAAAAAGTTAGCATTTAGGAATTATAAAAAAACCCAGAGTGAGGAAGACAAAATGATCTATAAGATTAGGCAGAAAGAGGCTAAGCAAGTTATAAGAGCTTCCAAATCACACACAGAAGAGAAAATAGCACAGTCAGTAAAAAAGGGGGATAAAACATTTTTAGATACATAAATGAGAAAAGAAAAGTAAAACAAGGATTAGTTAGATTAAAAACAAAAGAAGGAAGGTATGTAGAAGAGGATAAAGGTCAGCTGACTGCCTCAATGAATATTTTTGTTCTGTATTTACAGTAGAAAATGAAGGAAAGGGACCTCAGTTGAGAAAAAGGATAAATGAGTCATTTATTACACGTGAGTTTACAGAGGAAGAGGTTCTATTTCAACTGTCAAAAGTAAAGACAAATAAGTCAATGGGACCTGATGGAATACACCCAAAGCTATTAAAAGAGCTTAGTGGTGTACTAGCAAAACCATTAACAGATTTATTTAACCAATCATTGTTAACAGGAGTAGTCCCAGAAGATTGGAAGTTAGCGAATGTTGTGCCCATTTACAAGAAAGGTAATAGGGAGGAGTCGGGCAACTATAGGCCAGTAAGCCTTACTTCAGTAGTGGGGAAAGTGATGGAAACCATGTTAAAGGATAGGATTGATGAACATCTAAAAACACATGGATTTCAAGATCAGAGACAACATGGGTTTACTTCAGGGAGATCATGCCAAACTAATCTTATTGATTTTTTTGATTGGGTAACTAAAATTATAGATCAGGGTGGTGCAGTAGACATTGCTTACCTAGATTTCAGTAAGGCTTTTGACACTGTTGCACATAGAAGGCTTATCAATAAACTGCAATCTTTAAGTTTGGATTCCAATATTGTTGAATGGGTAAGGCAGTGGCTGAGTGACAGGCAACAGAGGGTTGTAGTTAATGGAATATATTCGAAGCTTGGACTTGTCACCAGTGGGGTACCTCAGGGATCTGTACTTGGACCCATTCTCTTTAATATTTTTATTAGTGATATTGCAGAAGGTCTTGATGGTAAGGTATGTCTTTTTGCTGATGATACTAAGATATGTAACAGGGTTGATGTTCCAGGAGGGATAAGCCAAATGACAATGATTTAGGTAAACTAGAAAAATGGTCAGAATTGTGGCAACTGACATTTAATGTGGATAAGTGCAAGATAATGCATCTTGGACGTAAAAACCCAAGGGCAGAGTACAGAATATTTGATAGAGTCCTAACCTCAACATATGAGGAAAGGGATTTAGGGGTGATTATTTCTGATGACTTAAAGGTAGGCAGACAATGTAATAGAGCAGCAGGAAATGCTAGCAGAATGCTTGGTTGTATAGGGAGGTATTAGCAGTAGAAAGAGGGAAGTGCTCATGCCATTGTACAGAACACTGGTGAGACCTCACTTGGAGTATTGTACACAGTGCTGGAGACCGTATCTTCAGAAGGATATTGATACCTTAGAGAGAGTTCAGAGAAGGGCTACTAAACTGGTTCATGGATTGCGGGATAAAACTTACCAGGAAAGGTTAAGGATCTTAACATGTATAGCTTGGAGGAAAGACGAGACGGGGGGATATGATAGAAACATTTAAATATATAAAGGGAATCAACACAGTAAAGGAGGAGACTATATTTAAAAGAAGAAAAACTACCACAACAAGAGGACATAGTCTTAAATTAGAGGGACAAAGGTTTAAAAATAATATCAGGAAATATTACTTTACTGAGGTAGTGGATGCATGGAATAGCCTTCCAGCTGAAGTGGTAGAGGTTAACA